ATCTTCCAACAAAAAAAGTCCGGGTCCAGATGGCTTTACAGCTGAATTCTATCAAACTTTTAAAGAGGAGTTAATACCAATTCTCATGAAACTGTTCCAAACAATTGAAACAGATGCTACTCTCCCAAACTCATTCTATGAGGCCAACATAACTCTGATACCAAAACCAGATAAAGACACAACAAAAAAAGAAAATTATAGGCCAATATCCTTGATCAACCTAGATGCTAAAATCCTTAATAAAATATTAGCAATTAGAATACAGCAACACATTAAAAAAATTACTCACTATGATCAAGTGGGATTCATCCCAGGGATGCAAGGATGGTTCAACACACGAAAGTCAATAAATGTGATACATCACATCAACAAGCTCAGGGACAAAGACCATATGATTATCTCAATAGATGCTGAAAAAGCACTTGACAAAATTCAACATTCCTTCATGATAAAGAATCTCAACAAATTAGGTATAGAACGAAAATATCTTAACACAATAAAAGCCATTTATGACAAGCCCACCGCCAGTATTAGTCTGAATGGGGAAAAATTGAAGGTCTTCCCCTTAAGGACAGGAACAAGACAAGGATATCCACTCTCACGACTTCTATTCAACATAGTATGGGAGGTACTAGCTAGAGCAATCAGGCAAGGGAAAGAAATAAAGGGAATCCAGATTGGAGAAGACGAAGTCAAACTTTCTCTATTTGCAAATGACATGATACTATATATAGAAAAACCTAAAGACTATCAAAAAACTCGTAGAGCTGGTTAATAACTTCAGTAATGTTGCAGGGTACAAAATAAATGCCCCCAAATCAGTAGCATTTATATACTCAAATAATGAATTAACAGAAAGAGAAATAAAGAAAGTAAGCCCATTTACAATTGTCACCAAAAAAATACAATACCTAGAGATCAATTTAACCAAAGAGGTGAAAGACCTCTACAATGAGAATTACAAACCATCTGAAAGAAATTAAAGAAGACACAAAAAGATGGAAAGATATTCCATGCTCTTGGATTGGAAGAATTAACATTGTGAAAAGGTCTATACTACCCAAAGCGATCTACAGATTCAATATAATTCCCATCAAAATACCAATGACATTCTTCACAGAAATGGAAAAAACAATCTTACCTTTCATATGGGAAAACGAAAGACCCTGAATAGCCAAAGCAATCCTTAGCAAAAAAAAAAAAACAAAGCCAGAGGCATAACACTACCTGACTTCAAATTATACCACAAAGCTATAGTAACCAAAATAGCATGGTACTGGCATAAAAATAGACACTCAGACCAGTGGAGCAGAATTGAGAAACACGAATCACCCCTCAGGCTTACAGCCATCTGATATTGGACAAAGGCAACAAAAATCTACATTGGGGAAAAGACTGCCTCTTCTCAATAAGTGGTGCTGGGAAAACTGGATATCCATATGCAGAAGAATGAAACTAGATATGCATCTTTCATCATACACTAAAATCAACTCAAAATGGATTAAAGACCTAGGTATAAGACCTGAAACTGTAAAATTACTAAGGGAAAATATAGGTGAAACACTTCAGCAGTTAGGTCAGGGCACAGGTTTTATGAACATGAGCCCGAAAGCATAAGCAGCAAAAGAAAAATTAAACAAATGGGACTACATCAAACTAAAAAGTTTCTGCACAGCAAAAGAAACAATCAATAGAGTAAAAAGACAACCTACAGAATGGGAGAAAATTTTTGCCAACTATGCATCCGAAAAAGACAACCTACAGAACTACATCAAACTAAAAAGTTTCTGCACAGCAAAAGAAACAATCAATAGAGTAAAAAGACAACCTACAGAATGGGAGAAAATTTTTGCCAACTATGCATCCGACAAGGGACTAATATCCAGAATATACATAGAACTCAAGCAATTATACAGTAAAAAAATAAATGACCCAATTAAAAAATGGTCAAAGGAGATGAATAGATATTTTTCAAAGACATACAAATGGCCAACAGATATATGAAAAAATGCTCAACATCACTAGTCATCAGGGAAATGCAAATTAAAAACATATTGAGGGCTGGCCCGGTGGTGCACTGGAGAGTGCGCCACTTGGGAGTGCGGCGGCGCTCCCGCCGAGGGTTTGGATCCCATGTGGAGACCGGTTCCCGCTCACTGGCTGAGCGCGGTGCGGGCGCAACACCGAGGGTTGCGATCCCGTTGCTGGTTCCCGGTACGGGCGCAACACCGAAGGTTGCGATCCTGTTGCTGGTCCCCGGTACGGGCGCGACACCAAGGGTTGCGATCCCGTTACCGGTCAGTTAAAAAGACAAAAAGGAAAAAAAAAACATATTGAGATACCACCTCACTCCAGTTAGACTGGCTATGATCAAAAAGATGGCGAATAACAAATGCTGGTGAGGATGTAGAAAGAAGGGAACACTACTGCACTGTTGGTGCGAATGTAAATTAGTACAACCACTTTGGAAAACAATTTGGAGGTTTCTCAAACAACTACAGATAGATCTTCCATATGATCCAGGAATCCGTCTTCTGGGTATATATCCAGAGGAATGGAAATCATCATGTTGAAGAGATACCTGCACTCCCATGTTTATTGCAGATCTGTTTGCAATAGCCAAGACATGGAACCAACCTAAATGTCCATCAATAGATGATTGGATAAGGAAACTGTGGTATATATGCACTATGGAATACTACTCTGCCATAGAAAAGAATGAAATACTCCCATTTGCAACAACATGAATGAACCTGCAGAAACTTATGTTGAGTGACACAAGCAAAGCACAGAGGGATAAATACCGCATGTGCTCACTCGTATGTGGGAGCTAAGAGAGAAAGAAGGCAGGAAAGAAAGACCACAGTAGTGCCCTGATCCAATTGGGAGGGAACATTCCTAGGGCTACAACTTGGAGTGGAGGGGAGATGGGGATGGGGAGGGAGGTTGGGGGATAATTGGCAGGGGACAAAGGGTAGAAAAGAAATTTCTGGTAATGGGTATGCCCCCAGCATGAATCTGGCCCCCACATTATGGGCAGGAGGGCGGACAATGAGCTTTGTATCCCATGAATATTCATAATTTTTTTAAAAAAGAAGGTAAATTTGCTAGAAAAAAGTTATAAAATACATTTCATGACTAAGTAAGTATTGTTGAAGTATCTACCTCTGAATTCATCCCCAACAAAATATCCTTGCCTCAAAATGTGTTATAACACCAGTTAGCTGATTCTATAACAAGGAGAACTAGAATGTCAATTGCCTAACATTGTGGATTCTTTTTGATCTACTAATTTAGCTTCTGGGAACGTGTAATTTATAATGTAAGGAAAATTATACGGATGATTGGGAGAAAACTAGAAACAATGAAAACCATAGGTAACAGGATAAATAAATTATATATATACTTAGTAGAATAATATGCAGTTATTAAAAATTACATTGTAGAAGAATATTTAATAATCCGGGGGATAGTTTAAGATATGCCTATGGTTAAAGAAATAAGTAAAAAATAAAAATTATCTGTAATATGTTTTACATATAAATTTTATAAATGTCATATACACAGCAATGCATAGAAAAAGCCTAGAAAACTGTACAACAGAGTGTTAACTGTGGTTGTCTTTGAATGATGAAACTGTCTTTGAACGGTGAATTTTGCTTTTATTTGTCTGTACTTTTATAAATTTCTGTGATTAAGATGCATTACTCTTAAAACAAAACAAAACAAAAACAGAGAAGAAAATTTGCTTATATGAGTACATTTTTAAAAAAGAAAGAAATGAAGGCAGGAAACTTGAATTCTTTACTATAGGGAATCTTAACAAAGGGGCAATCTTAGATTAAATGTCCAAAGCTTCTGACAACCTTAGCTTCCAAAAAAGAACCACGATAGGTTAGAGGTTGCCAGGTTAGAAACTGCAGGGCTGCCAGCCCCTGTACTTCCTCTCTCTGACATCCTAACCTGGAGTCTTCACCAACTTCTATCACCCTGAAGACATGATAGAAGCTACCTCCACCCCAGAGTAATAATAATGTTCCTTAGACTTTACTGTGCATGAGAATCAGCCTGGGAATTTATAAAAATACAGATTCAGAAAATCTGGGATGGGCTCTGGAATTTTCTGCTGTGATCAGCAGCCTGGTGTTCCAATGCAGGGATTGGCCGACCATACTTTTGACTCATGTCCTACACTATCTCCTTTAGACCAGGCTGCCCTCAAGCTATGAGCTGGGTATAATTACCACATTTTCTAGTTTCTATATTTGACACTTTGACACCTTGGGGCCTTGCTGACCCTGGAGGGACCACCCCACCTGGGGCTAAGCAATTCCTAGAGAATTGTTTTCATAAGCAAACGAACCAATCCAGAGCCCACACCCCAACCACCTCCTTTATGGAGCTCTCACACTCAGGGCTGCTATTCCCCTGCCCTAACCACCCCAGGGCCAGGTAGCAGACAACTACGGAGAGCCCCTATGCCTCAGAGATCTCTGAAATTATTCAAACTAGTCAATCCTAAACCTGTTCACCCTGCCTTTCCCATTCCTTCCCTCAGAAGTCACAATAAATGATTCTGTCCATGTTTTCCCTCATCCCTTCTGCCTCCTGACCAAACCTGCTGCTCTCCTGTGTGGCCTTGCACGTGGTGTGGCATGCCCTCTCCTCTTGGGATCTGTGAGCATTACAAGCTATCTTTTCCATTGCAATCATCCCTCATGAGTTGGCCTCACCATACCTGAATAATAATAAAACTCACATTTTAAAACACCAGGCTGCTTCTAGAAGAAGAGATCTCACAGGTCCTACAGTCACTTACAGCAGTGACAATAAACAAAAGGGTGGCAGATGCCACCAAAGAATTATGAACATTCACCTGTGGGTAAAATGCAATCAACTGGTGGTTTAAAACACACATACACACACACATCCATTTCTGTTCACATAGAAATGTATTACAAATGAAACTGTTAAAATATCCCTTTTCCCCTGACACTTACCTCACGGAGTGGGATAATGAGGCTGCATAAGTTCTCCTCTTTGCTGGTAAAGCAGATGTAATTTGTGGACACAAACATCTGCCCCAAAATGTGCATTTTGTTAAATGGAGTCCAGAGGGTGCAGTCTGTGTGGCCATCTAATTTTTCATCTTTGGGCAGCCGGAAAAGTGCACGGTATCTCTCACTCTTTGCCCTGGCATCAAGATCTCTGGAAAGCAATAACTATAATTCACCTCACACAAGAAAAGTGTTTCAATACCTTCTAACTGATGCTGCAATGGAAGTTTCCCATCACTCTCTCCCTTGACCGTGCTAGACTCATTCCTACTGCCTTAGCTTTATATTGGAGTTAACTCCAACCTAATGACCCCAAAGCATAATAAAATTATTTTATTCTATTTAGGTCTCTTTGTGTAGTCACTTTACAATCGATATCTGTAAATTTAAAGAATCTTAGGAAAACTAGGCCTGAACAGGAAACTCATGCTCTCTCTAAAGGAATGCAATAATTTCTAAGAGGGTATTACATTGACTCTTATCCCGAGCCACTATTCTGGGCCTAATCTTTTAAAAGAGACCCAATGAAAATGCAAAAAAGCCACATGAATCTGCATCACTGTCCACCCTAAACAGACAACAAAACTTTATAAAAAGACATAGGAACAACCCACATCTTGGACAACTATAGTTTCCAACCTTTTCTGTTGACTATATCTTTTCCCTAGTAAGCTCTTCTTTTGGTTGTTTAAACCTCACCCCTCAAACTTTTACTCCACCTCAGCCCCTTAACAGTCTAGTTTCTCACCACATCTTGGACAACTATAGTTTCCAACCTTTTCTGTTGACTATATCTTTTCCCTAGTAAGTTCTTCTTTTGGTTGTTTAAACCTCACCCCTCAAACTTTTACTCCACCTCAGCCCCTTAACAGTCTAGTTTCTCGTTTCACAGAGCAAAGAAAGGCCATGATGCAGAAGTTCCATCAAACTCCCGACCTTCTATCTCCAAAATTACCTCCGTCCTCACCCGCTCTAACTTACTCCCCCTCTTTCAAAGGGACAGGTGTCAGCTCACATAAAGTATTCTTGCCATGCTCTATGAAACACCACTTTTCAAATTCATCATTTTCTTATAGCTTTATCTCTGTGCCCTGCCCTGTCCCTGCACCTACCCTCACCAACAAACTTCCCATCCACCTTCTTCATTTGATCCTTTGTTCAAATCGTTTCTATTCTAAAAAAAGTAATCCCCCCTTTTTTACCACTGAATTTCTTGACAAACCAATCTGTACTTGCCTAATTCCCTCTCCTTGCCTTTCAGTTGCTATTTAATCCACTGCAGTAATAGCATCGATCCCCCATCGCCCTGTTGAAACATGTCTCAAACCACCAAAGGCATTTTAGTTACACTGACCTGTTTTCACAGACTCTACCTACCAATGATTTCCAATTTTACAAATCGTACTATACCAATCTCCAACTACATGTCCTGCAGACAACTCAATTCGCCCTGTTGAAACATGTCTCAAACCACCAAAGGCATTTTAGTTACACTGACCTGTTTTCAGACTCTACCTACCAATGATTTCCAATTTTACAAATCGTACTATACCAATCTCCAACTACATGTCCTGCAGACAACTCAATTCCAAGGACATGCTCTTCCTTCTGTCATTCCCCACCTTAGTAGGTCAGTTCCATGCATCCAGTCACACTTTAGAGGGCACCCACTTTTCCCTCATCCTTTCTCTAGCTTTACTCCCACAGCCAGACTTCCAGGCTCCCCTGTATCCAGTTCTCATCCCATGCCTGCTACTTCCTAGCCGTGGGATGCACTTACTTCCCTCTGGGCTTTTCCCTCATGCTGCCCCCATCATGTCCCCCCCTCTGCCTGAGATATCCATCCTACTGAAGCTGCCTGGGTAACTCCTTTTCAGAGCCCAGCTCAAAGCAGCCTCCACTGCGAGGCCTCTCTTACCCACTCTGCACCATCTGGGCCGAGCTACCCACTCCCCACATGTGCACCCACAGTGCTCTGTTCATAGGACCGGAGAGTTCCCATCACATTGTGCTGCAGCAGGTCATGTCCATCTCACTTACTGAACTGGGAGTGCCTCGGGCAGCCTTTTTTGTTTTGCGTATATACCCAGAAAACTGTTCAGAACCTTTGAAGTTGTTTTGAAAAGGTTAAAATGAATAAATGAATGGGTTTCTCATTTCTAAAGTCTGGAAGCCTCGAAGTCTTTATCACCCACCGTTTAAGAGCAGACACTTTTTTAGGTGATTTCTTTTTCAGCTTGGGCAGGGATCTATCTTGTTCAAATCCCTCATTGTCTAAGAGTTGCCTCATGGCTATGTTGGCAAGCTGCTCCATTAACTTGAAGGTCTCGTTGATGCTGAGGAACACGGAGAAGAAATGCTCACTGGACCGTGTGCTCACTTTGATGGCATCAGGCAGAAGCAGCGTGGCGTTCTTCTCAAGCTGAGTGATGTCCACCCACCGGATTACCAGTTTGGCTGAGCACAGGGAACAAGACTAGGTCAGCACCCGGCTCCATCATGAGACTGCGATCTCACACCTGCCCTCCCCATCCCGCTTAACTCGTCTGAGTTTGTAAGCCCACATTTGTCTTGTTTGTTAGTTTTAAGAGGCAAATCCAGACTACATAAATTCTGAGTCCGGAGTTATTATGGATTTAAGTCCATGTCCACTTAATTGATTATATCTCTAGTGAATCTTGATTACTCAATGACCTATTTCTTTACAAATATTGAACTAAAAATAATTGAATTTATTTGTTAAATACTCAAAAAATAGTGTTGACTTAGTTATAATCACAGATTTATTTTTGGTATTTCGATGTGGTTTATAAGTTCAGAGCAAACCTCAATAGACTTTCCAAAGTGTCTTTCTGAAGCTCTAGATGACTTACCTTCCCTTCCCATAAGAAAAGAATAAAAGCAAAGGTGGTTAATACTGAGGTACATCCAACCCTGACGGGGGACCTTTCCCTTCCAGTAGCTGCAAGAGTAATAGTTGACGAGTTTCTCTTCCTCGGGCATCCCAAAGAGCCTATGGAATTTCACAATGGCTTCTTTAAACTTCTCTGTGTCATCATCTTCCTTTACATCATTGATTTTGTTATACTCTGCAATAATGCCCTAAACAGGGATAGAACACAAAGCACAAGGCTGGTATTAATATGACCAGAGCTGTATGTATTAAATAGGAAAATACAATTCCTAAGGTTAGAATTTTTTAAAACATTGATGAATTCTGTTCAAAGGCAACCCCCACATTCTAAGTTGATTAATGAGTAGCATCTGTGTACTAAAAGGTTTTCAAAATGACAACACAGATTTTATTATACGTTAATTGGTGCTAATTATTTTATTAAGTTCACTTGGAATGAAGCCCATAGTTTTATTTTACAAATGAGAAGATGTAAAGATTTTGCTGGTTCTATTGTTTTTACTAAACTTATCATGATAATAGCCATCCCAAATGTCAACTTCTGCCTTTCTCAAAATCAACAAAAATTCATCATGAATGGACAAGAGAGGAAAGAAAGACAAAACACATGTCACTAACTGACACTTGGGCACAGACCCACTCTCTCAGGACCATGAATAACATCAGGGAACCTAGAGAAAAGAAGCCACTTAAGTCATTTAAGAAGAAAGGGGTAAATAAGAGAGCAAAAGCGATATTAGGCACAGGATTTTTTGACAATTGGACAGGAAACAAAATATTTGCATAGCAAGTAAATGGCTTAATCTACTGTTCAATCACTGTAGTATCTTAAGAAGCCATTTCATTGTTATCCAATTCCTATGTAATTCCCTGAAAATCAGCTTCTACATTTATCTCTTGATAGAGAATGTTCCCTTGAATTCCACCTTTGACTTTGTAATCATCAAATCCCTCCCACCTTATCTTCAGTTCTCTGATCTCAAGGTAGCACTGGAAAAACATGAGCTTTAGAGCATGAACGTCTTGGTTTCAAGTCCTAGCAGCATCATGGTGTGTCTGTGTGAACTTGGAAAACCTCTTCCTTATCTTCAGTTCTCTGATCTCAAGGTAGCACTGGAAAAACATGAGCTTTAGAGCATGAATGTCTTGGTTTCAAGTCCCAGCAGCATCATGGTGTGTCTGTGTGAACTTGGAAAACCTCTCGGATTCTCCTTGACGTGACCAAGCCCTCCGTATGCAAGGACAGAAATGGCAACTGCCTCGTCATACCTGGAATTCCTGTCTGAGGGCTCTTAAGCTTCCAGTACCTCCTACAGGCTCCCTATAAATTTATCTTCCTAAAACTGGTTTTGAGTACAAAATTCTTATATTCAATGCTGTACCCCACAGATATGTAAAATCAATTATGTTTCAATTAAAAAAAAAACAAAAAAAACTATATGTAGTGGATTGGATTATGTCCCACCAAAACTCCCTGAAACCAAAACTCCCTGACGCTTGAATTGTGTCCCCCAAGTTTTATGTACTAGAAACTTTTATGTATTAGAAACTGTGACTGTTAAGAGGGTGGGAAGCCTATTATGGTAATTGAAAGGTGGAGCCTTGAAGAGGTGATTGGACTGTTGAACTGGGCAGTGGTGAATGGATTAAAAACGGTGGTCACGGGCATGGTTCTGAGGTCTTTAAAAGAAGAGGAGAGTGTCTGCCTTTTGCTCTCTGCTCTCTCTGCTTCCACCATCTTGCAATGTGAGACTCTTGGGTCACTGTCATCACCACCAGATGGACTTTGGACTTCTCAGCCTCAGAAACTGTAAGCAGTAAATTTCATTTTCTTCATAAATCACCCAGTTCAGTGTACTTTGTTATAAGCAACAAAAATGGACTAATACAGCATACAAAGCTACTACACATATTAAAATTAATTATAATAATTATAAGAATAATAAAAGCCACAGCTACCCTTCAAAAAAGATATCCTGAGTGGCTCCCACCACCACCAGTATAAAGTTCAAAATTCTAGACTATGCACATTTTGGATTCAACCAACACTGCAACCTTTTCTCTCACTGTACTGCATCCGATCAAAATTTCCCATTAGCCAGCCTGAGGCAACCTCAGGGTCTGAACATGTCATTTATGTGCTTTCTCACTCTTACCTGTGGTCCTGCCATTTTGTGTGCCTAAAATATAGAATCAGACTGTTCTCTGTTTCATTAATCCTATCAACCACCAAAGTCTGGTTTAATTCCCATGTGATCCTTCTTCCAAGCATGATTCTTCCCCTCCACATTAAATACTATTGATTCTCTATGCATTATGTATTGAAATTATTTCCTGAATTTTATTTCTACTGCCAGGCCTTTCATGCCTGTTGCCAGCAGCTGTGATTGTGTGGAGTGATGGTAGGAGGGAGCACTTGAGTATGCCTTAGTCTCTGTCACCATTCGATTCTAGTTAAAAGTAAGCATATAAACAACCACTGTGACAGCAAACAGTGGGCTTACTATGGAAACATAGCCCCAAGACAAGCCTCCAACTATTCTACTAATAGGAAAGCACCCCAAAGCCATGTACACAGTCCAGGGATTCCTACAACAGCTTCCCAACTGGCATCCCATCAGGACACTCTCCACACTCTGACATATTTTATAAGGCCCCTTTTTGAAACAGAGATCTGACCATAGCATTCCTGCCTTAAAAACTTCCATAGGCTATCAGTGAAAGAGAAAAAAAGTCCACAATGAGCCTCATGCCATAGAATCTCTTCTCAATCTGCCCAAGACAACCTTTCCAGGTTTGGCATAAATAACCACATTCCCTGTGAAACCACTCCAACCCTAAGTGGAGTTTGAGCATTCTCACTTCTATGTTTTCCCTTAATTTCTATGTTGGTGGAAAATATTTTGTTTATATGTCCCTCTATAAATGAGTTCCAAAGATAAAGACAGTGTCTTCAACATTTTTTGTTGCCAGTATCTAGCACCTAAAAGATATTCAATAAAGTAATACTAAATGAGTATATTTGGGTACTTCAAAAAGTTTATGGAAAGATTTGTATTACCTTTTAATTCTATTTTCCCATGAACTTTTTGAAGTACCCACGTATGCTGTTTTTCCAAATTAGAAGGTATCTTAAGGAGTCTGTCTTAGTCTTTATTGTATGATCCAGAGTTGCAGTTTTCTAAATCTAAAATTGTTTCAGAGTTAGTGATGCTTGAGAAATTCAGTACCAAGTTGCTGACTCCTGTTCTTTGGTCATACAGGATGGCAGTGTGGCTGGCACTGGGAGTAGCAATGCACTTCCCTAGGAGAATATCTAATATAAGGTTATTTTCCTCTACTTTTGATACTACTCCACTTCCAATATAGGGATGTGAGCTCCATGAAGGCAGGGACAATCAGTTTTGGCCCTGGGCAACTCTAGTCTACACTAGTCACTTCAGAGAACCAGAGGCAGCATGAGGGCATGGGACCTCTGGGTGGGGAAGAGAAGTCAGCTCAGAAGAAAGAGGGATGGAAATACCTTTCCCAGTTAGTTGGCAAATATAGCTACAGGCTATGTGACATTTCAAAGTTGTCAATGCTTTTAGAGGGGAATCAAAAAATATATAAGAATGAAAGAAGAAATGAATGAATATGTGAAAGCAACCAAATGAGAACCCACTAATTAGAAGGGCAGTGGGGTCCCCAGACAATCCCAATGACAATCATCTCAAAGTAAGCCTGGAGATCAACAAGCAGGCTAACATTTGCTCTTCTCCTGGACCACTGGAGTGGGGCTCTTACCCAAGATCAAAATAGGGAGAATATTAGAGGGGAGTGATGTATAATGAACCAAATGGTACCTGTATGTTTTGAGTGGAAAAATATTAAGTTCAGACTATACTAAGGATCTGCTAAATACCACATTTCTAGAATGCTCATTTATACTTTAAAAAGAAAATATTTTAAATATGAAAGAATTTATGAGGATATAGAACTGAGAAACATCACTCTGAAACACTCTGGGGCCTAATATACTAGTATCAACAGACCAGACCATGCCAGCTAATTTGGAAAACAAAGCTAATAGTGCCCACTCCCAACTCTCCCACCTTTAAGAAAAGACAGGGTCCAGAAGGCAGAACCTTTTCTTAGTTTGCTGTAATTTTCTAGACAGGTCGACTGGATGATGGAACAAAGGGACGGAATATCTCCTTCCCATAGGTTCTACAAGTTCTACAGAATGTAAGTAGGTCACTTCTGTTCTAGGCAACAGCTCCTCATAACTTTGGAAAATTAATACAATCAAAATATGTGGGATGTCCAATATAAATTTAAATACACAAAAGGATATCAACAAGTAATTCACAAAAAGGAGAAATTTAACTTAGCAAACATGAAAA